AGAACCAAACGCCGAACCGTTTAAAATCGGGCCAAGCACACCACTGAAAATTTGGGCGAGAAGCCCGTTAGGTACGCATCAAATGCAATTTCTAGAGCTGGTTGGCGGTGGCCCAATCGATTGGCGGGTTTTGTGCTCACCCCTAAGTGCGACCCTCGATTCTTGAGGATATCTTGCTCTTGAGATTATAATTATATTGTTTGAAATGTCAATAAAATTAATTTTTATAATATGCTAAAATTAAATTACAATATTTTTTAAAAGACTTTATATAATAACCATTTAAAAAAAAAAAAAAAACTTCTAGATAGTATTCTCTCAAACTAAACTTCCATTTCAGATTTCAATCATAGCAAACAAGGTCAAACTTGTGATTAACAAGTAGGGATGAGGATTCGCTACAAGTACACTTGTTACTTATAAGTATCTTACTTGTTTAGGTAAGTATTATACTTGAATTGTAAAAAAATTAGGTAAATAATGGATATAAAAATAATATACTCATAAATATCAAATTAAATAATAAATGTAGAGACTCAAAATTGCTTATTTGACTTGTTTCATCAATTTATTTAACTAATATATTTTTTGTACTCTTATAATTGAAATTTTACATATATATTTATTATACTTAATATTTATATAATAACAATAATTTTTAAAAATTAAATTAAAAAAATACAAAAATAAAAGTAAAGTAAGGTTTACAAATCAAATAAATCACATATACAACAATAACAATTTATATAAGACTTATTTTTTTAAAACTAATTATACAAATATATACTGACTAATTACTTGGCATCTGTTGGATTAAATACCAAGTATAGGTTTTCAAATATTTTAGTCTCAAGTGTAAAAAACTATCCTTACAATTTTCAAGTTAGGTATTAAATATAACCCCTATAGCTACGCGCATAAATAAACATGTCACCAAACATTATCAAGGTTATACTCGGCCAGGGGACAGAAGTGGCAACAGAAATTCCCAAAACATATAAGAAATCAAAAGCCAACGAAAAAATCATAAATCTATAGTACGCATAATGAGTTCTACGGGTAAACCTGGTGTAAGGTGGTAAACGATCATCTGTAGGTGCGCCCCTTATGAGACGAGCCGCCCACCATATGCCGTAAAGAGTGGCCGTGATGTACGAAATGATACGCTGAAGTAGTTGTGGTCGAATATCATCGCGAGCACTACATGACAAGGCGAGCAAAATAACGGAACGTGGGAAACTCCTAATCAAGCAGGCGCTTCCAATGGTACATGTAGACGGTAATGGCAGATCTTCTTCAAAATCCAACCAGTGCTTCTCCAACCAGCTCTTCAGACAGAATAAAAGATAACAAATGCAAGCGACTATCCAAGTGGGAAACTTCAATCCGAAGCGATTGTAAGTGATGGATCCAACAACTCCTATGATGAAACCGAAGAACCCGAAGTCTGTAGGTAGCCGTAATATCACCGAAAGACCTAGATTAAAAATTGCCATGCAGAATGCAACACTGAGGTTCTTTAAGGAATTACCATAATATGTTTGAAAGGGAAGTGCTAGAATAAACCAGGTGAAGTTTGATGTTGAATTTGCTGTGCAGCCCCACCTTCGATAAAGTATTTTGAGTTTTTTACCACAAGACTCTGAAAATGCTAGCAAGTATAAGCAAGTAAGGGCGAAACACGCGGTGATTTTCCCACTTTTATCATATTTAAGACGTAACTCTGAATTTTGCGAAAGAATTTTTGCAGATAATAGGGCAAATTTACAGATCAGCTTGACCGTTATTTGACCTATTACCGCATCATCGGTGAGATACATCTTGAGAGCTTCTGACAGATTGTTCATCTTCTCAATAATCGGATCCAGTAGAGGCCTGATTGTTGACTGCCAAAACAACATGAGAGCTTCCTGTATTTTGCTCTTCACCACAACAATCCAACTCTGAAGGCATTTGATTTGATGATTCACCTTCTCTATAACCCAATTGAACATGAGTATTGTCCGAACAATATAAGGCACTGTGACTGACGGAAAAAACACTAGAACCATGTGCATCAAAATCCTTCCATTCGAATCTAGCAAATCGTGCATGCGTGACAAAGAAATCGCCATATGGTGAATCAAACTGGTTTCTTCTCTTGCAAATTAATTCTCGATCATCGTCCACATATAAAGAAAAAAGAAAAGAAAAGAAAAGGAAACATTAATTAACATCCCATAATTGGGCGGTAGTTTCCCCTTGGTTGGTTCCATCCACTTCGTTTTTCAACATTAGAGGCGTTAATTTAAGTATATTTCAATTGTTTTAGACCTTCCCTAGCTACTTCCGCGTCCTCAACATTTCCATGAAAGAATCGCCATGGCACTTTTTTCTTTTGGCCTCCACGATAGCCAAAGGTTAGTCTTCCCTTTCTCTGTCATGAAATAAAGA